TCGTGTTATGTTCGACGCCCTGGAACACAAATTCAAAAACACCAAACAGGCTAATCTCATCTCCAATCTGTACGAGGGAAAAATGATAGATTATGTCAAGTGTTTAGAGTGCAATACGGAAAAAACACGTGCCGATACCTTTTTAGATATACCTTTACCGGTTCGTCCTTTTGGCAGTCAGGCTGCCTATGGCAGTATTGAAGAAGCTCTCAGGGCCTTTGTACAGCCGGAGACATTGGATGGTAATAATCAATACTTTTGCGAAAAGTGTAATAAGAAATGTGATGCCCACAAGGGTCTTAAGTTCAAGAATTTTCCTTATGTTTTGACACTACATCTCAAGAGATTCGATTTTGATTACACCACCATGCATCGCATTAAATTGAATGACAAGTAAGTATCAAGTTGGCGAAGGCATTTTTAATCGAACCATTTTAAATCTTTCTTTTCTTTGGTGCAGAGTAACTTTCCCACAAACGCTCAATTTAAATACATTTGTTAAAGAATCCGAGTCAACGACAGCCAACGGCAATAGTGTTGCACCCACAGATGATTGCAGCACTACGGACAGTGGTTCGGCCATGGAGGAAGACAACTGGAGTAGTGGTGTGGGCACTACAGCCAGTTCAACTACACAAAATGACACCGATGTCAATGAAGAAGAGCAGGACGAAGGCATCGACATGAGCTCCAGTACAGATCATCGTAATCGTGTAAATAGTGAACAGAACTTAAAACAAGACCTGGGACCCTATACCTATGAACTATTTGCCATAATGATACATTCGGGCAGTGCCTCGGGTGGTCATTATTATGCGTACATTAAGGAATTCGATAACAACGAATGGTATTGTTTCAACGATCAAACTGTAACGCCTGTAAGTAGCAAATACAGCCATTAATAAAAATGTTAATTAAACATTTATTCCTCTAATCCCCTTAGATAACACAAGAAGATATTCAAAAGTCTTTCGGTGGTGGTTCGAGTAAAACCTACTACTCCAGCGTCTACAGTTCGAGCACAAATGCCTACATGTTGATGTATAGGCAAATAGATACAAAGAGAAATGAGAAATGTGTAAAGGCAGAGGAATTTCCGGAACACATTAAAACTCTGACAGAGAAACTAAAGGAAGAGGAAGAAACACGTGTCAGTCGTGGTAGTGTACGTCATCGTCCTATGACGGATCTCGCTCTACCGGAGCAGATCAAACCACGAGTCTATTTCTACAATCCCAAAATGAAAAAATTGATAATGACACGAGTTTATGTCTCGCAAAAGTTCGATATTAATGTTGTACTAGAGTCAGCTTATCAAATGTTATCTGTGGAACAATTCGCTCCTTTGTCGCACTGCCGTCTCGTGGGCTATGATCCACCAGCCGAGCGTATCATACGTTCATTTGAAGGCTTAAAAGATCCCACTTTAGAAGAAATACAAGGTAATAATGAGGATCCTGTGGAATTCTTGTTGGAATATAGAGCAGATGGTCAGGAATTTGAGGTTTATGAGCCAGATGGCTCGACTTGGTATGTGTACATGGTTAATTTGTCAACAATGGAGATGGACGGACCATTTTTCGTGCATTCCAAAACCTTTGAAAACAATGACACTCTACGCCACTCAATTGCTGTGCGCTTACATGTCAAGGAGGACCAATTGTTGGTGGCAACTTTACGTAATGGAAATGCATTTGTGGCCTATGATCCCATGCCCACTAAAGAAGCTCAGCAACAATTACAAGAAATGGCTAGATCACGTTTTAAAGATCTCACCTACTTGTACTTATTCGTCCCCAATACAGATCCTACTAATCTAGAAATCATAGGAATACCAGCTAATGAAACGCACGAACCGGTAATCCCCGCTGTACAGGAACCCACAGTAGGCAGCAGTACGACAGTAACACACAATGGTTTAACAAATGGATTCAATGAATCTGCTGCTGCTACCTTAACTGTTGCTCACGAGTCAAACTCTGAAGACAGCAGTCTGAGTGATGGCGATCGCACTTTAGTTGAGAATATACAACATCGTGGTGATGGTGACAGCCAAATCTCTAGCACTAGTCATTCTCCTCAACTGTCAAGTCCTGAAGAAGAGAATCGCCAGGACTCCATTAATCGCATCAATGCTTTCTATAACGGCTATTCGCATGGAGAACCTGATTTATCACCCATTGTACCCCAAGCACCACAATTTTTTCATGCCATTAAACTAGAAAGTGTGGACACAAAAGCAACCATCTCTAGCCGACATCACTATATGGATCCTGACAGTTCCGAGGAAGCGGCCCGTAAACCCGTAGTTAGCTATAAAATCCTAGTAGATTCACACATGAAGTTGAGCACTTTTAAGAGTCATGTTCAACGTCTAATACAAGTGCCCGACAACTACTTCCAACTGAATCGCAAACATGACAAGTGCCTGAAAAACATGATGTCAGAGACTCTAGTCTACTTCAGCGAGGGAGAGTCGCTGTTTGTTGAGCTGGGCAAAGAACTGCAGCCCGAGGAACACAAGGCCAAAATATTCTTTATGCGTTTGTCCGAGTTGAACAACGAATCCGGAAGATTGCCCTGCGTGTGTGAATGGATCTACACGGATTCCATGACGGTAGCGACAGCCAAAGCAAATTTGGTTGCCAAACTGCAACGTATTGATCTCGCCAAGTACAAGAGCTTAAATGTGCAAAATTGCCGTCTGTGGCTTAAGGGCGGTCGCAGTCCCATTAAAATATTCACAGATGACGAAACGCTTGGTTCTGATATTCGTTCGTCGGCAGCAATGGAGGTAGGAGGGTGATTGTGTGTTAAGATAATAGTCATTTTTATAAACGTATTTTTCTATTGGTTTAGTTTATTGTACAAGAGTGTGAAGATGGTGCCATTGCCAGTCCCGATGAGAACAGTTTAACAATATTTGTTCGCCGCTGGCATCCGGATTCTTTACAATTGGACAAATTTCAGGAAATCACATTACACAGTAAGTTTAAAAAGGTTTGATTTATTTTTTTATTTAGTCATTAGATTAGTCAATAGACTAGCCAATAGACCAGTCAATGGACCAATCATTAGACTAGCCAGTAGATAAGTCAATAGTATAGCCAATAGACCAGTCATTAAACTAGCCAGTAAATCAGTCAATAATCTAGCCAATAGACCAGTCAATTGACTAGTCAATGGACTTGCCAATAGACCCATTTTTAGAATATTAATAGATCAAAAACAGTAAATAGACTAATATTTCGTATCTTTCATCCTCTTGTAGAAAACAGTGAAATGCGTAATGCTATATCCCATATATCGGGTATACCTGAGGATAATGTAGCCTACACAAAGGTAAAATGTGTTGAGAAGAATATTGTATTGTCTTATTTTTAAAGCAATTTTCTTATATTAGGTTAATGGATATTTTCCCTACACTAATGTCTCCTTGCTGACAATAAACAGTGCAATGACTTGGTTTACTGTACCCTCCACATTGGACAAATATCCGCTCAGTAGTGCGGTCAGTGGTAATCTGTTCTTTTACAAGTAAGCTCATTTATTATATTAAACAATAGCAATTGCAACAAATATAATGCAAAAATCAACTTTCCAGGGATGACACAGCCGAATTAAAAGAACTGACCACCGAGGAAAGACGTGAAATGAGCAACAAAGAGAAAACACGTTTAGATCGTTTGGGTTGCATGTCCTCATCACGATTTTCACCGCGACGCGAGCGTGCCCTTAAAATTTACGTAGATAGCCCTGCCACAACAGCGTCTCCTCCAGTGGATGCCAACAGTTCTATGGCGGATGATTAATTAAATATGACGACTCATGTTTATCATGTTGTTGTATATCAAGCATTAAATCAAAACAAAATACAAGAAGACGCTGAAAATTAACAAGCAGTTATGAAGAGAAAAACAAACAAAATCAAAGTGTTACTTTACTACCTACCAATCACATACAATATTTAACGTTATTACTTTATACATACAATATGAGAATAAGTCTTTAGTTCTTTTGTTTTCTTTCTTTCTTTTCCCCCTTACTCTTATCTTTCAAGAGAACAATGATTTTTTTTTAACTTACAACTAACTCAACACTATTAAAAAAATTATCTAAATCTATCAGATAGTAGAAAGAAATCAACTTTAACTAACAAAAATGCCCGACCGCTCGCCAAATATCAAATTTTTGCATTAGATTGACTAAATGAATAAAAGAAATAAATATATGCGTTGGCGATTAAAAAAAATATATATAAAAATTTCTTCTCTTGGTGCGAACCTAACCTTTTACACAAACACTTCCACACTTATACTAATACAAAACACGCTAAAATAACACATCTATACAGAGACACTTAGTTTTCTATACCTTAAATGAGACTGCTTCTTAAAAAATAAGTAAAACTAAAAAACTGTAATAAAACGTAAAAAAATATTTAAAAAAACATTGAAATATTATCATTTCATTTCCATTTGTAGGGAAATACGTATAACACATACATACTCCTGTTACTCTTTATTTCATTTCAATATTTAAAATCTTAAGTTTTCATTTCAAAATTGGCCGCCCTTCGCGTTCATTACCTTGTTGTTGTTTTCCAATTGTTTATAAGTTTAAAAAACCAAAAAGGAAAATTGCTTTAAAAGCATTTCACACAAATGTTTTGTTTTTTTTTTTTAGTTTTTGATGGTTTTATTTCTAATAAAATTTTTAGCTTTTTTTTAAAAAATTATTTTCAATAATTTTATAAAACAATATAAAACGAATTCAAGTTTTAGATAATTTTGAAAATTATCTAAAAAATATAAATATCCTTTTTTAGGATAGATATTATTACAATAATGCTGAAACATTTGTTTGTTTTTGTTTTGTTGTTAAACTTCCTTGTGTTTTAGTTTCACTGTACACGTACGTAATGAAATTTGTTTCAATTGGACTGAATAAAAATATAAAAAAAAGAGATGTTTTGAATTTTGTAACGCTGGCGGGGCACAATATGCAGAAGATAGTTGAACCAGCTCCCACTTAATTAACAGCTGGTATATAGTTTTTATAGAACGGGGATGTGGTTGTATTATGGTAAATGAGTAAATTGTAGTATGTTGTTTACTGTTTTGTTATTAGGGTGTTTACATTCTGTTGCAGAGTTTCCTCTTCATTCTCATCCATACTTAAAATTTATTGCTTTAGTTGCTCTAATATTTTAGTATATAGCAAAAGGCGTAGCAATTGTTGTTGATTTGCTGCTTTCAAGCCTTGGTCTCCACAGGAGCCGGTGTTGAAGTGGCAGTGTCTGTACCAGCAGCGGCCTTCTTCTTAGCGTGTCCTTTACCCTTCTTGGGTGGCTGCAGGGGAGTGTTAACAAGTTCCTGCAAAAGCAAAATATTTTTTATAAATAATTTATGGATTTGAAAGAAAAATATTCGTATTTACCTTTAATTCAGGTTGAGCTATGCTGTGTTCACTAACAAAGTTTTCAACATTGAAGGGAATGCCAGTTACTAAATTGACTCCATTGGGCATCAATAAGACAGTGTGTTTGAATTGAGCCACATATTCACCTGAAATCATAGAGAATGAAAAATGGGTTATGTATTATTAGAAAATTTCCATAAGAACTTAAAGAAAAAATATATAATTTTAAACTTTAAAATCAGTAAGTAATTATCCACCAAAACAAAAAACTTTTTTAAAAAGCTCCTATAAGAATGAAAGCTTTTTTATATAAAAAATTATTTTTTAATTAAACAATTACAAGCTTTTGTTAGAAATTGAAAGGTTTTTCCCAAGTTTTTACTGTTTCTGCGATTAAAATTTTTTTCAATTAAAGCTTTTCTTACAAATGAAAGCATGTTTTTGCTTAAAAGCACTTTCAATATTTAAAAGATTTTTTAAAAAGAAAAATTAACTTTTTGGGCAGAGCTTTTTTTCCGAAAAGCACATAATTAAAAGAATTTTCAAAAACAAAAAGCTTTCTTAACAGTAGAAAGCTTTTTAGCCAAAATACGTTTTTCAACAATTAAAAGCTTTTTCAACTGTTAAATAATTGTTTCATATAATAATCTTTCCGAAATTAAAGCTTTCAGGCCAAAAAATGCTTTTCTCACAAATGAAAGCTTTTTCGCCAAAATAGCTTTTCTGATGATTTTTCGCCAAAAAATGCTTTTCTCATTAACGAAAACTTTCATTTAGAGTATTTTAATTCAAAATTTTATTAAATTCGAATAAATGACACGAATTTAAAAAATCTCAAATTAAATTTTATTCTTACAAGGTGTCTGGCCGTACAAGCAATTTTGCAACTAATACGTAATTAATTCTTGTATATTTAAAACAACAATTAACAAAAATTAACAATTAAAACAAAATTGTTCCCCAGAATCTGGGGAACTACATTGAACAATGAACAAGTCCTTTTCACTTAAAAAAGTCTTCACCTAATTTCATATATTCAGCACATTTGCTAATAACCTCTCTTACTTAAATTAAATAACTTTATTCAATTTCAAAATTTTATTAAATTCGAATAAATGACACGAACTTAAAAAATTTCGAAATAAAATTTTAGTCTAGCAAGGTGTCTGGCCGCACAAGCTATTGTGCAACAAATACGGAATTAGTCCTTGCAAACAGTTAAGACATTAATTTGAACTTAATTATTAATAAACTTACTTGGCTTCTCGTACAGCACTTGGAAGGGTTCAATCATTTTATGGGACACACATTCAACAACACCCATACGGGCTTTAGTCTCTTCATCAAAACCGCGAATATTGAAAGGCATATTACCGTACTTTGTTTTAACCTAAGGACGGCAGTCCATAGCAATTACCGGAAAGAAAAAGTAGAGGAAAAACTATATTTAGCATTTAATAGTAACAATTTGAGCTAGTTATAGCTTTAAATTATCATAGAAATTGTCTCAGATCTCATAATCTTACAATCTCTGGGTTTCAGCCAATGCAGCATCAAAAGCACGCCAAATATGTCCTTAAGAAGCGGAGCATAAAAGGAAACAGTTACAACAAACACAACTGTTGCACTTTCAACGCATTATCAACCTCCTACCCTCAAGCGCAGTTTCTTAATCATTGACAATTTCTTGGTTTAATTGGTTTGTTGAATTCTCTTTATAGCTTACAACAACTTACCTCAGCCAAAAGAGCACGAGATGTTTTCAACTTAAGCATATAGTTTTCGTCGGTCTTTTTGTAAATTGACACTTTAGTATCCTTCTCACGACCAATACCTTCACCAGTGCTCACAATAACATCGATGGCATAGACTTCATGTGTTTCAAAGTTACACTTTTCGTGTTCTTTACGTTGAGCTTCGCTAGGATTTTGAATGATTGTTTTTTCGCCATCGATTTTGAATTGTTTCAATTCATGACTGAGCATACCCTCGATGGGTTTGCACTTGTAGGATTCACTGATTTGTTGAACAGCATCGGTAATGGCATAGTTCTGGAATTGAAGAAGAGACAAATTTTATGAGATATTAAAATGGGAACCCAGAAAATTCTTAATTTTGAATGTATTTTTTGTTGAAAAGAATCTTGTTTCTTATATCCTAAAGAAATTGAGCAAAAGTTCGAGAAGAATCTTTTGTTTCGGTATATTTCTTTCGGACTTTTGTTTATTATATGCAAGTGTTGAGATGTTTTTAATTGAGATTTTATTAAAAACAATCCGTTGCTTGCAATGTAAATACTTGGGGAAATGGCAAATAGAATTTATTCAAGCTTTTAGAACTTTTTTTTTTAATTAATTTCAGCAATTAAAAGCTTTTCAAAAACTAAACTATTTTAAGCTATTAAAAGCTTTGTAAAAACTGAAACGCGATTAGAAAGCAAATTGTATGTTAAATACATGTGTTTCGATAACTTTTTCGTTCGAATGGAAAAACCCTCCTGGTTAGAACAAATATTAAAGGTCTTGCAACTCCAATTTTGGTTAAATTCTCTTATAGTGTTTCCTAAAGAAATTGAGCAAAATTTCGTTAAACAAAACTTTACTACTTTGAAATTCCTTAAGGATTTTTGTTTAATCTATGCAAGTGTTGAGATGTTTACAATTGTGTTTTGTATTGAAAACAATCCGTTTCTTGCACACAAACAAATTCTAATTACAATTAATAATGCAATCTTAAATTTTTCCACTTACATTGTTTCCGGCTTTAAGTAATCTTAGAGCAGCTTGTACAGCCCAGTAAGCAGCAAGAATTACATCAGCTTGACGACCAGATACTTTTTTATCGGCAGTAGCTCCTACTACCACAGTATGGGCAGCTACGGCAATGAAGCCATCAATATGAGCACCCATGTCACTAAGAAATAAAAAAGAAAACTTTAAAACATGAAATTTGATCAATTGAAATTTCATTTTGATGTTTGTAAACAATTGCCATAAACAAATTATGGAATTTTTTTCTAAATTACAAAACTAAACTTACATTTTAACAACATCGCCATCCTTTAACACATGATCGGGATCATTTTTGGACGGTGAAAAGTGGCAAACACAGTTGTTGACTGACAGGCAGGTGGGAAAAGCAATACCCTTCTTTAATTCCTTTTCTTTTTTGTAAACCTGAAAATTATTATAATTGAGGCATAAATAATTAATAAAATTTTGTTTATTTTGTTAAAAAAAAAATTAAATTACTTTGCTTGTTTCTTCGGTGATAAGAGCATCAGACTTTGTGCAGATATCTCTGACAGAGCCACCGACAACACAGAGATCAATAACAGCCTTCAAAGTTCCTAAGGGCAAACATATAATAAAATGTTTGGTATCAGTAAAATAATTAAATTTTTTACACAAATATATAATATAGGTAGAAGAAAACTTTTGGGCAAACAAAGAAATACCCAGCGTGGCAAATGCCTACCAACACAAATACATAGACCAAGATTTCGTTGGTCAGAGACCGGTTATTCAACATTAATAGCTTTGACTAACTACGTCATTAGCACAAAAATAAAATTGTTAAAATAAATAACTAAAATTATTATTAGATTTTCCTTTTTGGAGACTTTTAACAAAAAAAAAATGCATGTAATAATAAAACTAGGTTATGTACACCCCGACTAACGGCAGAAGCGCCGCGTGGCTTTCGCTTTCACAAAAAGCGGCAACAACAATGCCTGCTAGTGGTGGTCTGTATTTATTTATTTTATTTTTAAAACCATATTTTATTCAAACTGTTTATTTTTCTACAATTTTATAATAAATTTCCACTTACTGTTGACGATTTCGCCCGCCAATTTATATTTGGTTACAACCAAATCTTCGGCAATTGTTTTCTCCTCCTTTTCCACAATGTCTGCCATTTTTGTTAAACTCTACTACACACACTTCTTCTTCACACCGTCGTCAAACACTGAATAAATACGAAAGAAAACTTTATAAGCAGAACGAAAACGTTGTTGGCGCAGCGCTGTATTTATAACGATGTTTGTATGTATGTGTGTACGTTGAAATAACAAAAAGAAAAAATAACAAGGGCTGTGAACTTTTTTCTTTTTTATTGATAGAGCTTGTAAATAGCTCAAGAATTTTATTTTATAAATCTATTTATATTGAATACTTTTGTAGTTACACTATTTTAATACCAATTGTTTTGCAGCGCGTTGTTTTATACTCTATTTTGGAATTGGAATAATATAAAAAAATGTTAATAACATTCGACGCGGATGAATGTATTCGGTGCGAAGGAAATAGTGTTGCCAAAGATTTGGTTATCGGTTATTTAGCATAATTAATGGTCAGAGTTGTATTTTGTGATGAAAGTCTGTAATAAATTCTCATAGTTCTAATAAAACTATATATTTTATATCTCATTTCCACTTTTTATTTACATATTTTTATCCTAATAATATATAATAAAATATACGATTTACGGACTTATTTTTTAGCAAAATATGTAGTTTACGAAAATTACTGATGGCAATTAATGACAGAAACTTTAGTTGAGAAACTATTTCTTAATTCTCATTTTAAGTTTCCTTAATGTCCACACATAGAAACTTTTGTTTCAGAAACTACATGTTAATTGCATTGACTTGTTTTTGTACGTAATCCAGTGTCTATATTAGACAAATAATTATTACGGCACTTGACAAAACGTCGACAGAAAAATTGTCAGTTTTTTGTTTATGTTAATTCATTGGGGTAACAAAATGCTGATTTTATCACAACAACTCACAGATAATTTTATTGAAATAATGCTATATTCTATAATAAAACAACTAAAATTAAATGCAAATTTTGTAAATAAATACTAATGTCACTAAAACTTATATTAAAAATCCATTTTAATTGCACAAAAATAAAATTCTAAACAAATTTTACAATAAAATGGCGTTTGTTATCAAGACAACATTGTCTAAACAATTGTTTAGACAACACTGTAATAACGACGTTATAACGCTAAGAAATGCCGTCTGTATCTGCAAATTTTTTTATCATGATAACAATTTGACGTTTAGCATAATAAATATTTGTCTAATATAGACATGGGGTATGAGAAGAATAACAAAACAAAACGAGTTTCCGAGTACGAGAAACTCCATACCGCAAGAGAGATGAATGACATTTCCTTCTCTTTCTCTCTCATGAAAAATCAAAAGTTTCCCAAAAATAGTTTCCTAGTGTGGACCGGCAGTTTGGAGTTTTACTCCAACATTTTTTAATTGGTATTACAGTGAAAAAATATAATGCAATTGTTCTTCCAACAATATTTAAAAATAAATATATTTTTATGTAAAATTCAACTTTAGGACAATTATTTGCTTGATATCAAAAATATTAAATTATTTTAAATTATCCAATACGTTCTTTATAATTTTGTAAAGAGTTTTTCATAAGCCCCACATAAATTTAAATTTGTTAAAAAAAATAGTTATAATGTTATAAACATTGATTAAAGTAGTTTAGCACTTTTTATTAAATTGAAAGTAGGTAACACTGTTCAAAAAATACAACCCTGTTTAAAAACAAGCTCCTGGAGCCAAAACTAACGGTAAACGAAATTACGTCCGGCTTTTAACTAAAAATAAGTGAAAAAGATCGTAAACAGAAAAATTGACAAATAAATAATAATTACAAGTGTTAGTGTATAAAATTAAAAAAAGTATAAAATAAATATGTCAATAATTGTGTTTATAAATACGAATGAATGGTTTTTATTATTTACAAATAAACAATCTAAGTATTCGCGTCTAAACGAACACTTCTACCAGTGAGCATTTAACATATCAATAACTTTCTTCAATATATCAATATGATTAGCATGCAATTCCAAGTTTTTGTCCAAATCCAGCCATCTGACTGCGGCAGCATCATCACCAGCGGTAAGTTGTATTTTACCTATTTGCGATCCACTATCATCATGAAAGTTGTAGGCCACTGTCTCCATCCAGGCATTGTCCGTATTGCGAAAATCATCAACATAACCCTTGTATACCTCCGAACCTTGGGCAAAGAATTGCTCTATTTTTAGCTTTTCGTCTATAAATAATTAGTATTCTTTGAAAATATGTCCACTTATTCGCCATCAATATGTGTATATTTACCAGAACCATCTAAAGCTTCTTCTATGAACTCTCTTTTGAGTGTAGTGCTAACTTTTTCACCTGGATCTACCATACCGCCCGGTATAGCCCACATTTTATTATCATGTCTTTGTATGGCCACCATTTGTAGAATATTTCTGAAGAACAAAAGAAAACTCAATTGAAAAGAGTCCAACAGTTATTTATCATAATTACTTATCACTTTGAGCACTCTTGACAATCTTTCCCTCTGTATCACGTTTCCAGCGTGTAACTATAGGGTCGGCAGCATGATTCGGACCCCAACGTCCCAACAGACCTCGTCCACGTAAGCCGGTTCGCCCTATAGGATTGACCGGACAATCATTACTATCTATTTCATATGCTCCATTGAAGGAGACACGATTCACATTTCCATCTATTTGACCCCATTTCGGTTTAAATTCAGCATCATTTATGTCCGGGTCAGCCCATACCTGGTTTGTTATATGCGGCGCCGTATAAATAGGAGGCTTATAATCGGGGTATGAAACGCTCCATTTTAAGTACTCATCGGCTACCGGAAATCGTTTTACATCACTTTTAGGATAAATATTATTACGACAAGTTCTATTTAAGATTGTTCCAGTTAAAGAAGTGGCTTTGGACATTGTTCTTTGTTATTTTATAAAAAGGTGTGTAGCGACAACAATAACAAGTTGATTAATTTTTTATTATTTGCTTTTTGTTTTGCTATACGTTTTCATGTTGAGTGTCCAGTTGTCAAATAAAACTTAACAATAAAATGCAAAACAGAGTTGGTTGCTTGTGATTTTTTTTAGATTCAAATTTATTAGTGTGTAAATTTGAAATAAGGAAAATCTTATGTTAAAGGGTTTGTCCAATTTTAATTAAATCGGATGTTTACTATGGCCTTAATAATTCGATGCGAGGAAAATATAAGGCGTATTAAGCACACATGTATCAAAGTTAGAGCATTGTTTATTTTTTCCACTTAAGTCTTTATTAAAATTGTGTCACATAACCTCACCTTGGAGGAAATGGCATTCCATTTGCAACTTCGGAAATTCCGTCTGTCTGTATAAATGTTTAAATCAATTTTGTGAATACTCCTGACATCTTAAGCATTCAAATCTTCAATAATTGTATCAGGCATGCTTTCGAGAAGTTTGCTATTGAAAGTCCACAAAATTGGTTGATAAATATCCGAGATATGGAGCAAATGTCCGAAGAAAACTTAATTTTTCCAGAATTTGTAGACAATATGGATTTGGTCCGAGAGGACCAGGTAATAAAATTTTAGTTTTTTTTTCACTTAATTTAAATACTTCTAATTTAGTTCCAATATACTTAATTTTTTGCAATCCATTAATGTGAAAAACATTATCAAAAATAGCTTTCCGAAAAGGATAATAAAGAATAGAATTACTAAACGGCGAAATAATGATCGTAGATCCACAAAAGTATGTTTATTATGGGATCTAATAAGATTCTAAGACGATCTGGCCACGCCAGTCTGCGGATATTTGTATAGGACCAGAATGGAATAAGCTTATGTGCTGAAATTTTCCACAAATATTATGCGTTGATATTTGAGTTTAGTATTGAAAATGGAAAAAAAAATTGTCCATGATTTCCCCCATCCCCCAAAATGAATATCCTACGGAATACTGTTTAAATGCTTATAAACATGTTAGTTAAATATTAATCGTTATAAAATTTTGCACAAGCTACTAATGACAATGAAAAAAACATCGATCCACGATTTCCCCTAGCCCCCATACAAATATCCTTCGGAATACTGTTTCAACATTTGAAATCTATTAATTACTTTTTTTATTTAAAAAATTTTGCACATAGTCGCAAATCATACTGTAGACCCATAGAAACGAAATGTCCAATAATATAACATTGAAATGCGAAAAAACAGCGTTATAAGATCGGCTCGGTTCACAAATGAATCGATTCCTCATTGTATTATTCCATAAAATTCAAAATTTGAGCCATCCTAATCTACATACATACATTAATGAATGCACTACAACATCATCAATTCACATTACCTACACATTAATCCCAACCAAATAGTCAAACAAACAACTAACTAACCACCATCTAACGAATCAAACAAACGAATGAATGAACCAAAAAACCATATAACAAGTATTATATTTTTTACCTAATTTGTACTGCACAATGATGAAAAAGTATTCAATTCATTTTCAAAGCTCAAAAGAATTTAATGTGGGCTTGTATGTGAATGTAAAACAAGTATCTATGGGTCTATGCCCAGCAAACATTAAGATAAACGTTTGAAATATTATGACTTTTAACAAGCAGATCTCAAAGTGTTGTGGTATTATACTATTGTCTTTAACATTGATTAATTGGTAGGACTGGTAACAATTATGAGAAGACTTGGAGGTGAATCGTGGCTTTGAGTTGAAAGATCACTAAAAACTTTTATGACTTTTAACAAGCTGAAAGTTTTTTCAAAATGATCTTGTTACTCCAGAAATTTGGGTTCTATAGTATTGTAACAGGGTATCCCTATAGGTCTGATAACAATTGTCTAGGTACTTGGAGGAGAATCGCGATTTCGTGTTGTAAGATCATATACTAAAACTTACTAAGGCTTACAGCTTACTAATAACCATACGCATAATAATCTATGTACGTATGAATGTGTGTACATTGGTGTATCTATGTAGGTATATTTTGAGTTTGTGTAAGTGAGTGAGTGAGGCCACCATATCTGCGTAGGCATTAAAATTTAATTGTCTGCAGCATTTTCACTTTGCGTGAGATCTTAACACATAAATAACTAGTCGTAACACAGAACGTCGTCGACGACAATACGACTACGATAACGACCAACTACTTATCAGGTTGGCAACAAGCGAGCAACAACATCTAGTTTCTAAAACTAGTTTCACCATGAAAAGACACACACAATTTTACTCCTCGTAATAATAGGTTGTATGTAAGTAGTAAGATAGTTTTGCTTGCTGCACATCTCAAAATATTGAATGAATGAATTTTTTTATAAGTATTCAATCCATTCATACAAATATTCACACAGTGCCGTACATGTAAAGTAAACTCTGCTATGCAATTGATTAACCCCACTTCATTTCGCTTGTTGCCCCACTCAATCAAATATCAAATGAAGAAAAAAAGAAAACACAGCCTTTAGATATACGGTTCAGTTTATTTGTTAAACGCTTTTATTAATTTATCTCTTAACCATAGACGTATATCGTCAAATTCAGGCCAGTCGACCAAATTGATTTCTTCGGCGGCATCCAAACGATGATCATACATTTCTTCTCCAAATATATTGGAAAAATCTGCAAAAATATGTACAAAATAATTTTAATCTAAAACTTAGCTTAGAAATGTCCAATTCCACAACCTACCACGTGTAAAATTATGTGGATAAAATTGTACCCATAATGTGTAACGATAATGATTTGTACGTAGCGAGTAACCCATTATTTTAATATTCTTTAGTTTTGGCTTATCACTGTTGGGATGCTTTGTCGGTTGCATACCAGGTCTAGGATATTGACTAAGAGCAAAATATTCTTGTCCTAGACCAATTCCGTGAAATAAGGGTTGTAGGCTTTTGCCTTCAGTGCAAAACAATTGCTCGTTCATAGGCTTTGAGTAATCACACTTAGGCATGCTGGGCAAATGGGTCAGATCCACTAGGGTGGGAAATATGTCTACTAATTCAGCAATAGTATTTAAACGTTTTCCTGCAGTTGTTAGGGGAAATTCTGGGCTGCGTATAATTAGGGGCACCCTTAATGCTACCTCGAAATTGCTATATTTGGCCCATTCTGCATGTTCACCCAAAGACCAACCATGATCGCTAGTTACCACAACAATCGTTCGCTCCAAGTCAATGTGAGTTATAAATTTACCAAACAAATCATCGACATAAGCCACAGAGGCATAATAAGCCTGGCGTATTTGAGCACTTTGCAGTTGGGAAATCGGACCATAGGGAAATGATATATTCATGTGTTTAAAATCATCTCTGGAACGAACATCCGTGTAGGGATTCCAAGCAACGTTGGGCATATCATGTGGTTTATAAGTATCCGAGGTATAGTTGTAGAACTTATGCAAAGGAAATTTATGTAAAAATTGACGAGGAAAACGAAAATTGATGTGTGGCTTGTGAAAACCCAAAGCGAAGAAATAAGGTCTACGACTTTTCTTACGATTTTGTACAAATCTTATGGCTTCCGCTACTGACTCTATATCGGGCAAAGTTTTAAAAGGCTGTGTTTGCAAATGTACTGGACAGATGAGATTTTTGCGCAAAACACCCAACTTATCCGGACACACAGGAGAGTTCATGAATTTTTCGGTTTTTGGGCGAAATGGTTTCTCTGACCAGCTAAGAGGATAATCATCACTATTATTGGATGAAACCCCAGGATGAAAGATTTTGCCAGCTGCATATGTATAATAGCCATGGTTTTTAAAATATTGTGGTAATGTTGTAAAATTTCCACTAAACGTACGCCAGTAGCTGTAGAAATCGTAAAGATGTAAAGTATCTGGTCGACGACTAGACAGAAATGAGTTACGACTTGGAGCACAAAGTGCTTGCTTTTAAAATAAAACTTTACCATTAATGGTTGGTGGTTAATTAAACAAATTACAAGTTTACCTGACTGTAGGCTCGTGTAAAGTAATAACTACCATTTATAAAGGCATCTATGTGTGGCGTATGTGCTAATCTATCGCCATAAGCTCCTATTGCTGGCCGCAAATCATCAAATACTACAACTACCACATTATACTTGGGATTTCTTCTTTCCGCTTCAGATTTTAATATAGAAATTATAGAAAACACAAACAAAATTTTGCAAATACTAGAGAAAAACATTTTTAAATTCACTCGATACGCGAATGTAAAAGCAACTAAATTTAATATTATCCAGACATATTGAAATTATGGATATATCGTATACATAAGTAATTTGCCTTTTAAGGGGACGTCATTTATTTGCTTATATCTTATTTTTATTATTATCTGTATACTTATTTTTTCATTATTTTTTTTTTTTTGCTTGATTCTCAATTCGGAAGTGCTTTAACTACACAAAAGTCTTATTAAATTCTTGAATGAATTACACCATTTCTAACTAAACTTATTTGTATAGATATTAAGTAAAATTCGGATCAAGTTTTTTCTTTTTAAATTTAATTATGGAACTTTGATAATTCGTTGGGAAATGGTGTAGCCATAAATCGACCACTACAATTACAAACTTCTCTAGACTCATTGAGAATTTAATGTCACAGTCGTTTAATATTATTATGAAATATTTGTATTTATTTTTTTTCGAGACCATTTCAACATTTGACCCAAATGAAGTGTGATTAAGGAAGTACCCAAGGAATTATGAATATTTGATTTGAATAATGTTGTCAGATTAGATTGAGGTTTAAAAATATTAAACATTGTGTTATTTTTTTAATTCTTTTATTCAAGGACCTATTATTATAATATATCCATAAGGATCGTACACTTCTACTATAATTTGGGGCAATGGTAAAATAACTGCTCAACAATTTTTGTCTTTACTGCTAAGCAATTATATATTCCAAAAAACCCTCAATGAACTTAACTATCAATAACTGAAGTATTTTTGTATGTAAAATAATTTCTATAAGTTTCCCGTATTAAATATTAAATATTTCTAAATATCCTCTAATAAATTATAAACATATTATCTATTGGTTTTAATTAGGAAGAAAAACCCGAACATTATTATGATCTTGAAACGTGATTTTCTCAATAAATCTGTGAAAATATACTCGTATTCCTTCTATTGCATTTATTAGGGTGGATTAATTTATAAATTAGAAAAATGTTTAATGCTCAAGATGTTAGCTTATTCTATTGATCAAAATAGGATTAATTTTTATTGGGGAAACTGCATGATTCTGCAGTAAATTAACATTAGCAGTTCTTATGTTATGTTGTGGTCCTATTAATTTATCATTGCAAAAGATGTAGACTAATACATTGGGAATTTTGCTTCCATTAGAAAATGCCCATTTTTCCAAATTTTTGGTTTTGTCCCCTTCCTCTATTAGGCCCTAATTAGTTGATATATGGTACTTATCGGTCATTGGTAGTAGCAGTTTTCTTCTCAATTTTGTTCAAGACAAGCGCAATAAATACCACGACAAGGAAAAGCTAATCACTAGTTTAGAGACAATAGCATTACTCATAACCCTATTGATGTTATGAGGGATGCTCATTTCCCTAGAATATTCTTATCATCTATAGACTCAACTCAGTACATTCCTTAACCTCTTAAAGTCGCACAACCACACTACTGAGATGGCTCTGTTGTTTCGGCAATAACACCTAGGGACGTAATTGGAAGAAAAAAACTTATTCCATTTAAAGTCCTAGATGAGGACCACGTAATCTACAAAACTACTCCTTTGCTAAAATTATGGTAGTACAAGATCCACTGCATGGTCCCATGAATATTAACCATACGTCCCTTCCCGAGAATTTGCGTCTAAACCACAGCTACTATGTGGATTCCGAAGGAACCTCAACCAACTGACCAGACAGGACAAAGTCCTGGGGGTAGTTGGCCTCCCGAAGTACCAGATTATCTGGTTTGACCCCATGTCAAATCATTCCAAGGAAAGGCCGAGGATACATTTCATTATTACCAGTTTATTGTCCCGGCCGACTAGAAGATCTCTTTTCCACAGGCTTGCATCATGGGGGATATGTTACCCCAGGGTTCTATCTTAAGAATAGCTCAATATTCACTTTAATGGTATGGATCACATCTGGCAAAGTACAATTACCCAATTTAATTTGTAAAATGTGGATTGTTTTCTAATCTTTGTGCCTTCCCGTCCATAGCTTACATTTCAGTCCATAAAAAATCAGTAATCAAGACTCTATAAGAATCGGGTTTGAGGGAAATGGAGCATTTAAACTAGCATTCTTGGTGGCATCTAGATTTCAGAAAGGTGTTAGTAATTCTCTTTAACTTTCTTTGTAATCTTCAGATCATAACCAAAAGGCTTTCTTCCAACACAATTTTGAACCAGTCTAATATACAGACACACATTCATAAATATGTATATTCATGTGTATATTTAATAATACTTATTTAAGTAATTTTTATATACATATACTACTTAAGCCATAGAATCATATACAAACATATATAGACTACTATAAAAATGCAGTGAATTTTTCACGATGTCTGACAACGACTTTATGTACCTATAAACTCATACGAGTATGTATGATTTAAACTGTGTTTAATTTTTTTCTTTTAAGCAAATTTTCACTGTTGAAACAAAAAAAAAAAAAAAAAAACAGAAATAAAAAGCAAATCACTTTTACAATTTATACTCGTATTGTGGTTTTAAATTTGTTACTCACTCATACGATTTCTATGTAGAAGAGGAAGTGCTTCCGGTCGCGGTTAAATGAATGTAACAACGATTTCTCTATCTAGGTAATATTATTTTATTATAGTTTTTTATTTTTTGTTTTTTGTGAGTGTGTATGTCTGTACGAATACAATTATAGACATTCGTTTATACATATTTATTTGGATATACTACGTATGTATATAAAAATGATCGTATGTGCGATTGTAAGTACTTATATGGTTTGGTTGTTTGTACGTCTGAACGTAGTATGTACTTTGCATGTACATAAATATTTCGGAATAGTTTGTGTTTTGCATTCAAATAAGCGTTTTTTTAACAAACAATCAAATAATAAAACAACAACAAAACAATATTATACAATTTACATATAACTGCGTAAGTAAGATGTACAATATGACTTAGTATATCCCTCATGTGTGGAAATGTACATATGTATACAAATATGTATGTTCATACTACATACATATGTACATATGTACGTAAACTTACAACACATTATACTACTATATATTGCCACTTCTGCTCATCATTTGTTTAGCTTTGAGTTGTTTGTTTTTTACAAAAAATTTTGCTCTTGTTCAATGAATGAATGACTGAATAAATGAATGAATGAAAAACTAAAAGATTCAAAGAATGAACAAATAAACAGACGGCGAATGGATAAAGATGCTTTTAATACCAAACTAACTGTTTGCTGGTAGTAGTAGTAGTAGTAGTAGTGGGTGCATATCAGACATCTGTCGGATTGAATTCATTTTTTCGCCTACTGTGACTAAATAAATTTAGTGTACACAATTTTAAGCCAGAGATAATAGAATAATGTTATTCTGCTAAAAATTATTCACTAATCGAATTATATGAGAGTCGAAATTTTCAATTATTTATCTTTTCAAAATATGTAGTACTAATTTGAAAATTAATAAATATATCCTATATCAGATTTTTTCACGTAAAACCTAATATTTTGGCAGAAAATAATTTGTTGATGAAAATCCAGTTTTTATTAGAGCCTTTGAACCTTGACCTTGTGCAAGGTCAAGTACTCACCTATCTAATATCTGACCATTGCGACCCCTTTTTCAGAGATGCTTCAGAACGATCACTTCCGTTTACAAGCACAGAGATGTAAAGACTTCTGTTGATTTGCCAACACTCTCTTTGTCTGTATAAGAAACTTTCAAAGAGAAAATTCAGCTAGAGAGCAGTTTCTTAACGTCCATACTTTTCGTCAGCTTAAATGTGTTAGAAATTCCGATCAAAACCAATGAGCTCTTTAGTCTAAGCGCTACCTTGAGAATAGTTTATCAAATCAGATGAACATGGTGAATTTTTGAATCCTGTTTCAGGGATCATACGTTGAAATATCATAAGAAATGTGATTTTTAGATTAAGCGCTATCTTGAGAATATAACTATTGCGGAAACTACGGAATTTAGTTTGCAAGCCAATTCATGTTTTTATTTTGTCTATGACATGATTGATCGCTCCAGTTGATCTTTAAGAGCACACTATTTCAATGCTCCAGACACTTTTTGGATTACAGATTAAAGGAAAATTCAAAAAGAGAGCAAATACATATCGTCCAAAGCTTTTGTCAGAATCAAACGATTTGAAGATTTGAGTTTAAAGTACACATACTTCGGAAACTTCTAAGGAGAGTTCAATAAGAGAGTAGTTACTTATATTTCCCAAATTCAATCTAAATTAATGAGCTCTCTTTTTAACATGTAGATCCTATGAATGTAATTTTACGGGATAATCGATAATGATGTTTCTAGGATGGGTTCTAGCTTGAGAATATGACTTCGGAAGTTACGGTATTGAGGTGGATAGGAATCACGTAAACAATTCACCTCTGACATGACAAATTAAAGAATGATCCTCACGTCATCGATTACTTTAAATAAACATTCTGATATATGGGTCTTTTATAAGCTATATAATGACTTGGTACTGCTCTGCGGACTTTGTTTAGTCGAATTTTATTAGAATTTTGAAAATTTTAAGTCATATACTCCCAGTAAAAAATTTTTATACTTTAGGAAGCTAAAAAGGGAAGTAACTGCATCTGTATTCGCTTACTATTAAGCCTTACTGAGAAGCAGGAAATAAGGGAATACCAATGATAGGAGTAATTTCATAATGTAAGCTGAAAAAAATTAAAAGCTTACTACTATCCCTTACAGAGAAGCAGATTGTAAGTGAAATATTTAAATAATATTTAAGCTTACTAGTGGGAATGCAGGTTTGTAAGGGAGAAAATAGCTTCGTTCCCTTACAAACCTGCTTGCATGTAAGCTCCAATTTTTACTGGGCTGGAACTATTAATAAGAAATGCAAAAAAAATCCATATTATTTAATGATATATCCGTCTATTCGAATTAAAAACAATTATATGCTGAAAGACAAGATCATAGCGCAAATTGTTGCTGATTTTGTATATTATTATTAAAATTTATAAAAACTATACTCAGTTGTATGAAAAAAACCCCATTTCCTTATTCAAACGATTCGAATTGTTTACCAAATACATAGTAGATGCATATTTATTAAGCAAAAGTAAAAATATACTTAGTATGGGTGTTAATGTATACACATATGTCATCATATTCCAGCGATTTCTATTCATTTCCATCAAAAAGTATAAAAATATATACAAAATAATAATACAAAAAAACTACGCTAATATAAAAGTCTTTATTCAATTCATTTATGGTTTTGTACTTTAATATCATATTCGCAATACATCGCTTAGTACCTGATGTGAATTTTGATTGGGGTCTCAATCTCTTATTTTGTAGATGCTTTATTTGTTATTTTTGCTGTTTATCGAATACGGTAAATCGATATATTCATACAATAGCCACGATCTCGAAATCGTTAATAGCAACAATTGATTATAAAAATCTTTTGTTTGAATACATTTTCCTTTATTTACAAACAATTATGGAAGTAATGTTGAAACTGTTTATAATTTAGCAATTTTTCTATAAAACGGGCCTAATAGATTTCTTCGTTCCTTAAATAATTACTTTATAGGAATGACATATTTTATCAATAAATGTTCAAAGTTTTATATCATGATCAGAAAAAATCTCGGAGTAGAAATGTTGCAAATAATGCAACATTATGAATGTTGAATGCTAAGTATTTAAGTGTTTTAACACTATGCGCAGTAAAGTTTTAAAACCAGGTCTTGGAAATATATTGAATACAAATACTACAATGCAGGCCTCTATTACACACCTACTTTTGATGGAATAGTTCATATATAGCGCTAGTTTTAAGTGCATGCAAGTAAAATTAAGATGACGCAGAAACTTTATGAAATCTAGAAAAAGAAAACTTACAAAACTGTGCAGTTTGCATATTTTGAATTTCATTAATGGGCAGCGTTTTTTATGATTTAAGAACTCTGATTTCATTTCCGGGTCATTGGCTTTCTTTCATTTCTCTATAATCGAACTTAGTTGCGTTGAATGTGTAAACATGGTTTGTTACTAAAGCAGCACCGAACAGGCAAAAAATACATACATACAAACAAACATTCAAACTCACTCATACGTTATGTTACGACTACATAAGTGTACAGCAGACAGTGCGACAGCAGAGACAAGATGTTAACGATTCGAAACCCTACAGAGCAAAAAACATAAAAATTGAAAAAATAGTATTTATACACATGAAAAAAAACTAAAAAAAAAACGACCACGGCAAATTGAAATGCGAAACACGCAACATACTTAATGAAAGCACAGAACAGTGTTGCCATCTACTCTTTTTAAGGAAAAAAAATAGGATTTGGTTTTTCATTGTTGATTTATATTCGGAATAATTTTTGTTCTAGTAAAGTATTATTGATTATTTATGGTACACGTTCACATGCCCGGCATGGAAACGCTGACTGGCCATTCGCGAGCACTTAGACAAGGTTAGAATAGGTTGAAAGTGGTATGTACATATATTTCATCAGATCTGAAAAAATACACCTTGTGCGCTGCTTTTCAAGAATAATATTGATTTGAAAAGCTTATATATCGACCCGCGAGAGTAATTACCATCTAATGTTCAGATACTCTGTTTCCTGAACGTAGTTCCGTAGAATTTTCCAATCAGTGCCCCTGAGGTATGTAATATCTGTTTCAAAGTTAAACTGTCCACTTCACATACTCTACAATCGTTAGAATTTGATCGTCCAAATTTATATAGTTTATCCGGGTCTACTATGAATACGTACCATCATACCAACTTCGGTCTCATTGAAAAGGCTTTTCTTTTTGTTCTCGTTTGATTTTAATTCAGCTATTGTTGCGTCCGAAGGTTTGGCATTCGTCAGGTTAACTTCTTCAACTTATGTTTCCTTTATACCAAGTACATTCGTTCCCGATTGACTGTTTGGAATCCTTATGCAAATGGTTTTAATTTAGCCCATCCTTAAGATTGCCGATTATACCCGAGTGACCTATTACCCTTATAATCAAAAGCTTACTAAATACTAAAAGGGTATACAGACAGCTTACTAAATACTAAAAGAGTATACAGACAGATGATATCGCCCTAATTGACTGTTGGCGCCGTCGTCAATCCAACCCATTTTACACCTTCCGTGATAGCACGGACTTCCGCCCGTAAGCAGGTCTTATGATTAATATACATCGGTTTCGCGATTTCATTTTAGATTCTCGCACCCGTTTTGTTCCCCAGTTTAGAGTCAACCATGTAGTAGTGGTTTCTAGAGGGATTTGCTGAAATGTCTAGCATTGTTTCTATACCTTTGGTAGACGTAGTTCTTACCACGACTTCTTCGAATCGTTTCTTAATGAATTCATAATGAGTATTTATCGAGACTTAATCTAGGGGGAAATCGATATACCCCAACTTGGCAACTCTCGCACACAGAGAGAGAATGGAAAAGAGAGTGAGAAAAATAGAAATTATTGTATATTGTACACATTTTGTAAAATTATGGATGTTAACGATCCGTATAAAACTATATACATAAATGCATAAATAAATATAGATATAAGTTGTATGGACATTTGAACTAGTATATTTTTATAAAACTATAGCCGATGTAATACAAGTTATTTAAATATCACTAGTATAACTATTTCAAATTTTTTTATTGATGTAAAATTTCATCAAATACGCTTTCATAATTTATTATGCGATCGATAAGCAAAAACTATTTATTTGGTTTTTGATGTAAAGTATTTATTCCCATTTTAAAAAGAAATTTCAATATACTTCCACATCCTCCCTCAGATTTTGGGATACAAAACATGTTGGATTAGGTTTGAATTTCTCTTCTAGGTCCTAATCAAAATTTGCAACTAGAACTTTTTGAACCAATTACCGACTCATTTCTATATTAGTTCCCTTTTCTTTATTAATAGAGCAATTAAAACTGCAGGTTTCTCATTCAAGTGGTTCTAAATTTTTCCGTCTTTTTTACGAAATAACATTTTCGTAACCTTTAAAATAACAATTCATTATATGTTTTTTGTTTTTATTATTTCTTTATTTATTTCATTATTAAATATATTTTATTTTATTTGTTAAAAAATAATAACAAAAATACATAATTATAACTTAACATTTGTTTGATGCTTCTGCTGTAGTTGTTATGGAAAAATAATTAAATGGAATTATGTAAAAATTCTAAAATTACTTAAATCTGTTAAAAATAATAATAATAATAATGAAAGAATGAAATAATAATCATAATAATTCATACATAATAGTAATAATAATAATATAATAATAGTGATAATAAATTTATACATATGTATATGTGGTATTAATATTTAGACCTATAACGTGTTAAATTTTATTAATCATTTTTTTTATAACTTGACTTAGATATTGAACAAAGAGAGTAGTGTGACAAATAAAGTGTTTTTCAAAAAAATACACATAGTATATATAAAAAAAAACAAAGAAAGGTCGGAGATTAATACACAATTTAATCAATGAATGAGTGAAAAACTAATTAATACATACAACAATTATGTGGTCATTTGTGGGACAAAAAGTTTTAACTACCATTTAGTTTTTTTTTGTATGAAAAGTTTTTTCTTTTTGAAATTTAGACAAATTTTAGAAAACTGTTAAACGGTAGTTAAGCCTTTTTTTGCTGGGGAAATAATGAACATGTTCCTAATAGTGTTGTTATATTTTATATTTAATTTAGTAATTTATAATTAGATTAATTACATTAGAGGTATCTATCTGAACAAAATGAATGAACATGTGACGTCAAAGTAATAATTTTTTTTCTCAATAAACCAAATGTTCCGAAATTGAAAGAAACTCAATTCAATCAATTTTTTTCTCAATAAACCAAATGTTCTGAAAATGAATAAACCTGATGTCTCAATGCACTCAATTTTTTTCTCAATAAACTAAATGTTCTGGAAATTAAAGAACCTGATGCCTCAATGTAATCACTTTTTTTTCGCAATAAACCGAATGTTCCGGAATACTTAGTACTAAGCAAAACAATGTAACAATATCTTCTAAGTTCTGTGTTAAATTTTAGTTTTTCAAAGGAATTATTTTGTTCTCAATAAAGTCAAACAGGTCCACTGCAGTAAATGAATGTTGTCGAAGCTCCCTCTATTGTCAGAATTAAAATTTTCTTCAAAAACTTAAATTTTTTCTATAACGAATGGAATTTTGATAATATTCTATAGGTCTTTTAAAGATCATTTAAAGAAAATATGAAAAACACATCGGAAAGAATCTTCCGACAGAATCGAATATCTCTAAATAAATTCCTCATTCATTTTTACTTTTTTACGAATATAGTCTCATTGTCTCCGAAAAAACTGGACCTCCTTAATAAAGTAAAAATTTTAGTTTATAGTTTTTTTTTTGTATACGAATTAAGCCAACAAGTAAAATATAAAATATAACAACAATAACAAGAACATGAACTTAAATTTGTTTTGTTTTATTTTTATGGTTTTCTATACATATTTTCTTTAAGATAATAATTTTGTTTAATTTTTCTTTATTTTGTTTAAAATTTTGTTTTGTTTGTTATATTGATACGATAGAACTTGAACGTGAGTGAATGTGTGATCATTTATTTGTATGTAATATGTATCTGTATCTATGTTGATTTGTTTATTTCCTCATTTACTATATTTTCGTATGTATGTATCTGTGTATGTATATATTTTGTTTTTAGTTTCTTTTTTTAACATTTCTAATTATTAATAATTATCTGTTTGCAGTCTTTGGTTATTATTTTTTAAAATTTATTTTATATATTTTTTTCTTTTAAATATTTTTTTTTTTCATACATAAAATAGCTAATAGATAGTATCGTATAGTATGTATGTAGTACATTATACTCGTAGTATGTAATATGTTTGTTTGTATGTATAATAATTATAATAATATTAGTTTCAGTTTAGTTTTTTTTTTGTTTTTCATTATTAATTTTTTAATTTTAGTTTTACATTAATTTCTCTTGCTAATTTCGTACTTTTGTTTTTGTTTTTTTTTCTTCTTTATTAGTTTTAGTTAATTGTGTTTTTATTTTAAATTTATTTTTAATTAATATGTATTGGTATTTATCTTAATCGTTTTGTGGTAGTATGCGTGTGTAAGTGTGAGTGTATGTGTTTTTATGTTTGTATGCATGTAAGTATGTATTTATGTATGTATGTAAGTGTTGTAGTTGTTGGTGGTGGTGTTGAAGTTTAAAAAAAAAGAATTTGGTATTTAATTTGTATGTTTTCTACACTTGGCCATTTTCAGTTAAAAACACTTATGGAAAAATGTTAACAAAATGGCAAAACATTTTCAAAATCTAAATAAACGGTTCATCTTATAGATACATTCCGTTAAATAGATCATTATCATTATTACTTAAGTTGTTGGTTTGTTAATACATTACAATTACAATTAGAATAATTTACTTATTAAATTTCTTATATCTTCTTTTTTTAGACGCATTAGTTATTTTGCTCATTATTATTATTTTTGAAATAATAATAATTGAAAGTTGTAGTAGCGTGAGATTTTATCTAAATACATACATTATTTTGAGTTAATTTAGTTTTGTCTTTAATTAAATTTATTTTACTTTATTATTAATTAATTAATATATAAACATGTACATTATTTACATCATAAATGCTTTGAATTTTTAACATAATTTATTTAAAACTTTTCGCACTTAAAAAATCTTCAAAACACCACCTTTTATTTTGAAATGTGTGAACGTCGGCTTGCACTCCTCCAGGCACACAAATTTTACTATAGAATTTAGCAGAATTTCAGACATTGTTCTAATACTCGGGACTGGAGTCTAGTAATCTTTTTTCTGGCGTTAGGTCGCCTTTGCGCAGGATTCTACTTGTAGTACTGCAGTCATTATGGTGAATATGATGGTGATTACCGCTAGTTGCTGATGATTTGGTTGTGCCATTTGAGTTGCTTTGCAGACCAGTACCATTGCTTAGAACGACAATGTTTGCACCATTAGCGGCTGATGTAATGGGAAACATGCTGGATGTGGAGCCAATTTGTTGACAGCGACAACCTCGCTTCGCGAATTTGCCATAGCATTTCTCACACATTGCCACACAGCCTCGCATGGGCCAATAACACCACAGGCATGGTAGGACGAGTGATAGAGCGCCCAACCAACCCCATCTTTGAGTGCGTTTGTAGGGTCCACACGAGCAGGGGTTATCGACACAGGGTGTACCGGAACTATCGTCACAGTCCATGTCGTTGTCGCGGGCACAGTGGTAGAAAAGCGCTTTAGCACAGCATAAACAGGATGCATAGTCTATTATGGACTCGGCACTGCAGAGACAGGTCTTGTTACAGACCCATGTTTGAGGCAGCGGTCTCGGACTCTGACACTGTTCACAACGGCAGCGATCACAGCGAGGGCAAGTGATTGGATTGAGTGATGACGGGGCATCGCTGCTACCAATGACAATTGGTGTACCCAAAGGACTGGCTCCATTGACAGCGGAGACCATGCCCTGCGGCGTTGATATACCGGTTGCAATGTTGTGTATGTCGAGCAACTCGTCGAGAGCGGGTAGTTCCTTCGCAAACTTGCAAGCGTTGTCGGTGTTTGATAAGGCGGGTTGTTTGGTGATAGGTTGATTTATGGGTTGTATACCAGGCGCTAGAAATCCCCTCGTTTCTGGTTTCGGAGATAGCTTCTCCGTCACCGTTGCAGGTTTTGTTGACGCTTTGGGATTGTGAAGTTGATGATGGGTTTGGTGATTGTGGATGTTGTGGTGGTGGTGCTGCGAATGTAAAAGACCGTCAGTGCCATCAATACCCATCGTTGCGTTCGCTGAACCAGCAGTTCCGGCAAGTCGATGTAAGTGCTGATGGCTTTGGCTCTGTTGTTGCTGCTGTTGGCGTAGTTCACGCTGTGGCAACAACAGCAGGTGATGCGTCGTCGTCTGACCGTTGTCATGTTGACCGGCCGGATGTTGCATTCGTGTCGCATTCTGCAGCTGTTGGGCCGTTCGCAATGGAGTGTCCACATACTCATTGGCGAGCCGTTCGGATTCGGGTCGCGGTTGCGCCAGTGTGACGGGAGATGTTGGTACCGGTTCTGCACTATGGAAATGATTAAGGAAATTATTATTGTTGTTATTGTTGCCACTAATGGTAAGTAGCGGTACTGCCGAGCCAGCGCCCCCAGGTGTTGGCGGTGGAGGTCGACGTCTCGTAAAACTATTCGAAACTGTAACCGAAGATGAGGACGATGATGAGCTAACGTGACTGTTGTTTCGGCTTAGATTACAGGGTCTTTGTGGTAGGAAAGTTAAATGATGTATTTGATAATCGTCAAATTGTGTGGGCTGTTGGGTAACAACATCAATGTTTCCAATATGATTATTATTATAACTGACCCTATTGTATCTAATGTTGTTGGCAACTAAGGGTGTCGTTGCTGGTGGACTCGTCGTTGTCGTTGGAATTGTTGACGCTGTATTCGCCACTGAAGAGGACCACAACGACGATGTGCTATTAATACTACTACTTAAATGATGCGACTGATTCAAATTATTATTTCTACTTAAATCTGATTGGTTTGTACATTGAGGTGTGTTCACTACGTTTGTTACTGCTACGCCTGCTGCTGCTGTTGCTACTGGTGTTGTCTGTGAAGTTGTTTGAGACACTGCGCTCATCATCTCCGGCTCGGGAGCTCTAGGACGATGGACTTTAGGTAACAATTTAGGGGGCCGGGGAGGCGCCAAGGGATCGCCGCCATTTCTGCGATCCATGTAGCGTTTAAGTAATTATGTTTAAAACCTCAATCCCCTCGATATCTTCTCCGGGGATCATCAGTTTTCCTCATCCTCTTAACAGAGCTTTGAAATTCGTACTCTTCAATTACCTAAGAAGATTTCGATCAATTATGTAGATTTTTTGTTGCGTCCACCAATAATTTGATCGCTTTCTGCAAAGAGAAGAGTTAAAAAGAAAACGTTACTTATTTGTTTTTGAAAAAAAGAGAATAATATTATTTGTAAAATAGATCTTAGTTTTTGGATAAAAATGTTTGCTATGAATTTTTCGCACAGTGTATATGTTTACCTAGGAATGTATTTGTTTGTGTTTCTATATGTATTGAACAAGTATTTGTTGAATGAATTTTTTCACACAAAGTGCTAAATGAGAAGAGGCATTTATTAATGAACAAAATTTAAACATTTAATTTGGCATCCAAACTACAAATAGATGTACATTCATTCATACAAACATATGTATATGTAGGTATAATACGATTTATCTGCAGTATGTATAAACGTTTGTATATTTCACTTGTTTTTATACATATTTATACGAATATTTTTTTTTTTTTTTGAATAGAAACTGTTAAAGATTATATCGTAATAAACAAAAAAAAAAAAACAGAAAGAATAAATAAAATTAAGAGAAATGAAATTAAAATTCGACAATGAGCCAGAACCACGCCAAGGTCAATAGTTTACGTACAAGTTTTCTTAAAAACCATTAAATGAATTTTTATAACACATTAACTCATTATTTATGATAAACTCTACCCCTAGGCAGTCTGTATCTTCTATTAGTTATACCATTTGTATTTAACTACAAAATTAACTGGTACTAGAATGGTTGTTTAAATGATTGGTATGTCTAGGTATTTTTTTTGTATATTAACCATTCATTTTAATTTATAAAATCTTTGATTTCCTTTAAGTCATAATTCCCTCTGTCTATTGAGACCATTTCCGATACCAGCGTAACCATATCGGAATACTAATTCTCTTTTATTTGCTTTTAAAATGTCTTGAATGTAAATTTTTCTTTAAGTCTTTATTTTTTTGTTAAATGTGGTTGTTGACCATTTTTTTTAAATTATACCCAAATGAAGAAGTTCTCTGGGGTATTTTGTTGTTTCTCTTTTAGTGTCTATCTATATATATGTACATATGTATGTAGTAGTGTGTGCTTAAGAGAGTATGTATGTGTTTGGCTGTAAACATGTATTTCTTTTATTTTTATTTGATTTTGAGTGCCGGATATGACGTCAATAAGTGGGCGTATATTGTGTTAATTATTTATTTTTCTTTATGTTTTTCGATTATGATGTTTTTGTTGTAGTTGTTTTTATTTTAGCTAGAAATTCCAAGCATCTTTTATGTACATATGTATCTTTTTATTGCTTTACTTTAATATTTTTTTTTTCTAAATAAAACTATTGTTTAATATGCACATGTTAGGTTTACATACAAACATACATACGTACATCCTCCCTGCCTATCTTTGTATAATTTTAACTTTGAACCCAAAAATAAAATATTATTGATTTCTTTCTATAAATATGTAAATTATGTTAAATCTTCTATAACATAAATTTAATATAACGATAGAGCTTAATGAAGGAAAGTTTCAAAGTGTGGCAGAAATTGGGGTAAATATGTAGAATTACGTTACAAAAAAAGTACCACCATTTATTTAGGCTTTTTTTTTTAAATAAATTGTATAAATTTATTTTTCAACCCTGATACTCATTCATACACCTCTTATCGCCAAAAAGCGGAAGTTTACTTAGCAAGTAAACAGTTGTTTTTTTTTTTTGTACATATTAATTAAGACTTTGAAAAAGTACTAAATAACAACAATTATTCATATATTATTAATTTCAAATGTTCACCGCAGTTATTTATAAAAGAAAATCCTCAAAAGAAATTGTTAATATCAATGTGGATTTAAAAGTTTCCGGTCCCGGTTTAATAGACGATATCTGATTAGCATGGGGTCTGCTGAAAACGGAATCTAAGCGATCCTATTAACTTTTAATCTGATCTTGATTGATCTGCTCAAAACTGGATCTATGCCCTTATATTGGACTACAAAAGGCCAATGTCCCCTTTTAACTGCATCTGATCTTGATTGATCTGCTCAAAACTGAATCTATGCCGTTATATTGGACTACAAAAGGCTAATGTTCCCTTTTAACTGGATCTGATCTTGTTTGATCTGCTCAAAACTGAATCTATGCCGTTATATTGGACTACAAAAGGCCAATGTTCCCTTTTAACTGGATCTGATCTTGTTTGATCTGCTCAAAACTGAATCTATGCCATTATATTGGACTACAAAAGGCCAATTTTCCTTTTAACTTGACGTGATATAGATTGATCTGCTCAAAACTAAATTTATGTGATTCTATTTGACTTCAAAACGCCAAAGTTCCATTCCGCTTGATCAGCTTAAAACGGAATCTGTGCTATTTTATTTGACTGAGACTTGAGCTACTATAAGAGTGAATTTTACTATTCAAAACAAAGATTTTATACCTAAAGGCTGTTAGTCATATCCATTTACGCCGGAAGTAAAATCGTAGGTTATATTTAAGAGAAGTTGTTCTCCGACTAATGAGCAATACATAACCATGATCAGTGAGTTTTTTGGCGTACAAAGTTAGAGATACTCTGAATGAAGCATTACCACCTCCCATTGCAGGGAACTATGAATTTTACCAGGGAAATGTCATATTAGATACAGAATCAGTTATCAGGAAGTATTGTTACTTAACTTTGTTTCTACTCACACTTTAAACAACACATTGACCCACCTTCTAAAAGTGATCATCTTGCCTTTTTTGGAATCATTAGATGACATTCTTGAAAAAAATGTTTGAAATGGGAAGCCAAATTTCAAAAGGAAGGCACCAACATTTCAAGAAAAAAAGTCATAACAAACAAAATCATACTCTCGTATTACAGCAAATACAAAACGAAATGTTAAGGGAATAGAGGAGTAAAACAAAAAAATATTTATCTATGTTTGTATATATATAATTCAAACATAAAATAAATATATATTTTTAATATTAGTTTATGCGAGTGAGTGAGTGTATAGCTGAATAAAAATGTGTGGGTATTGTTAAAGAAATGTTGAAAGAACAGATGGAATAATGTCTATTTATTTAAACAGTGTATGAACGTATGTTTCCAAACTGCTCGTGTGTGTTACTTACAACACACTACCCAACAGTTCGACAAAGATTTAATGCAGCTGAAAATTTACAGTAATTTCCACTAGCGTCTAACCACCTGGTTTGCTTTAATTTGTTTTTAGTCAAGAATGTGCTATTTGTCTAGGAGGGACTCTTTGTAGACGAGAGTGAACATAGTTTTCACTTTGCGGTTTCGAAAATCGCAGACAGTCGTTACTTTACTGTTCCCAAGTAATCTAAAGAGAAGACACCTTTAAGCGAAAGGTTAATTGCCATGTATTGACTCCTTTTTAGAACTAGCTTGCTGAATGCCATCTTCTTATCACTAGCACATGTTAAAAAAGTTATTCACCCCGGTAGTCTGGTAGCTAGGTCTTACCCTAAGTGATAGGGACTGTCCCCACCGAACTGCTGGGTATATTTAGTAGTACACACATACGCTCTCGATATACATATTTCAGAATGATTACTAGTATGTGATATATAGTGGGTGAATTTGCCAAGGGTCTGAACAACAAATCTAACTAGTATTCAAAACCTTAACATTTGTTGTATAGAGAGCGGGATACGAGTTATAGGCTAAAATAGGACAACTATTCCAATAAAATAAATCTTCTTTAATATCGATTGATTTCTACCTGTTAAAACTGATTACATTTCAGTTAACGCTATGTACAAAATATACGAACAAAAGTGATCGACCTTAAGAAGTGCTATAAGATATCTAGTACTATAGACACACACACACACTCACATACATAGTACACATAGATTCTTACAGCTGTTAGTCGTAATCGTAAACATACATGAATGTATGTATGTCTGTCTGTCTGTTTGTTTGTACGATTACTTATTTTTCTCTTCTTTGACTTGTATTTCTTTAGTTTTTCATCTTTTTCTGATATTAGTTGTTGTTGTTGTCGTTTCTTCAGGTAGCTGAATATAACTTATATAATAAACTTAAATTTATCGTTATATGCTCGTATACATGTCTACAAACATAGTAGAAACAGAAGTTATAAAAGACTTTATTCAATTAATAAAAGTTTTAAAAGAAATTGAAATGAATTTGTATTTAATTAGATATATAAAACGATTCAAAACTTAAGACTTAAGGTCAAAGTTAAACATCAATGTAACAATGGCGGATTTTCGTTTTAGATGAACGACAAGATTAAGTTTTGATTTAAGCGAGGAACAAAATTTGAGAATAGTATTTAGGAAAATCAATTTCGCCGAAGTAACTAAGTTTCGGTATCTAACTTTATTCTGGAATATTTTATCTAAAGGGATATACATATAAAAAAAACTGAATGATTCTCAGAACGACCATTCAGTTTTCGATTAGATTTAGTTTTAAAATGGGGAAACAACTATTTTCTATGTTAAAGTGCTGGTGATTTTAAACGATTTCAAAGTAAAACTTTAGAGCTTGAGAATTCTGAAAAGGAATGCATTCTTTTGCACACCTGTGTTATAATGTCTATGTGTATGTAATGTTTAAACGTATGAAAATGAGTAGATTGTGCGTACAAACTGTCAGGTTTTATTCTTTCTTAAGGCAAAATGATTGTGCTAAAGTAAAGGATAAAATCACAACAATAACAACTACATCGACAACGTTTTAGACTAAAATAAAAGAATAAAAAACAAAATGAAAAAAAGAAAAGAATCATCAAGCTGTCTTTTGTTCTTTGTATCTTCTGAGTGGGTACCCTAAGTATGGCACTTTGTCATTTTCCTCTTTGGCCAATATTCTTAATGAACCTCTTATGAGTCCACATACATACAAACATACACCCATATGTAAGTATGTATGTATGTGAGTTTCGATTTTATTAATGTGCTCTTTTACTCTTGTTGTAAGCAGTAGACGGACGACTTACTGACAAACGAACAGACAGACAGATACACAAACCAACACATGAAGAGCCAGTCTCCCAAATGCATAATTATACACATAAATATTT